GGTGTGTTGCGTCTGTGCTTGCATGCCTACACATGCACGTACGGTTCGTTGCATGCGCCGATGCATCTCCGGTTAGCAATGCAATAGACGCATAGAGCCGAGCCCTGCATCACCCCGCCGTACTGCAGGAGCCAAACTCTGTACTGTGTCGCCCGGACGTGCTGTAGTTCCATTTGATCAGGCAAATTTTTTATCTTAAGTATTTTTAGATTGTTTTAAGTGATTAAACAACAAGTTACTGTAAAAACTCTAGTGTTAGCCATATTTCTCAAAATCCAACCTGGACAACATCCATGAGTTCTTTTCTACCATCTCGTGTCTCAACCATCTGGAGTCCTTGTCAGTGTGACTCGATAAGAACATGGATGGTCTATTTCCTTCTCTAGATGACGCAATTGCTCGGCCGCCAAAGACCCTCACTTATTGCTTTAAGCTGCATGGCATTTACGCATACTAGCATCATGTAGCTGGATCAAGGAGTTTGTCGACGTCCAAAACTTGTACCTTGAGGTAACCTTACAGGAACATCATCACATGCATATCATCCTGGATCATTTAGTACATCGTACCAATGGGCCCATGAAACGTCTCTGTATCAAGCCAGTTCAAGATGATGCGCTCCGTATAGGCATTAATGATGAGCATCGTTGGGTTACGACTTGAGGTCCTTGAAATTATTTACACCACAAACTTACATGCAACTATTGGAAATATACAAATTTGGAAGATAAAATATCGCAAACATATCAATTCACTACCGGCGATAAGGGAATTAGAAAGATTTAGAGGGGCCAAAACAGCATCACAATTCGGCCATGTTAAAGATTGATTTAGGTTTAGGTCCAAAAGTAAAGTTTGTTGTACCCAACTCAAACTACAACTTCTATTAAAGGTCAAACTTCATATTAAAAAAGAAACTATAGTTTTACCCTGGTTAAAACAGCTTCATGAAAAAAGGAGTTAACTATTGATACAACACTTACAAGCATTTTTAGGCTAGTTCATGAACATAAACCCTAGATCATTTTTTATCTTAAGTATTTCTGGACTGTTTTAAGTGATCAAACAACAAGTCACTGTAAAAAAAATCAAGAGTTAGCCACATTTCTCAATATCCAAGTCATGGTAAAAATTAAAATTTATCAATTTCCATAGCTCGGCGTCGTAGTAATTGGCGCCGAGCTCATGCCACGTCCGCGCCTAGCAAACATCCACGTCAACAACACGAAGAAAATGACCCTGGACCTCGGCGCGAAAGCACTTGGCGCCGAGACGTGTAAGCTCGGCGCCAATTATCACGGCGCTGAGGTCAGGGTCTATTTTTTGAAAAGATACTGCCAGGGGCATATTTGTGAAAATCTTTCAAAAAAGGACTGAAAAACAAAAAAATCGGAGCCAGGGCGCGTGAATGAAGGGAAAGGAGGAGCAAGATAGACGCGCCGTACGTACATGGTGGCCTAGTCGGCCAGTTCGTGCGCCGATATGTGTGCGGTCAGTGGTGGAGCCATGATTTCACGGCTAGGTATTACACGTATGAAAAATTTCCAATGCATATAAGCAATAGTAATAAGGGGCAAAACCAGTATAAAATTGATCCCGGTGCACAGCTCAAGTAGTATAAATTTTTTTAGAATATATGTTAGGTAAAATATAATTTTACCCTGTTAACAAGGCACCAGGCAAAGTGAACCTGGTGTCGCCCCTGATAATAATCAACGTTGCAAGAACAAAATGCAACATTTCTTTCAAAAAAAACACAATACAATAAAAAATAGAAAACAAAACCTTCAATTCTTACTTTAAAGAATCTAAGAATGGATTTGGGTCCTTTGTGTTCGCCTTGCTATTGCTTCAAGCCAGAGATGAGAAAGGTGCCGAAGGGGACGGCCGGACGCCCAGACACCGGAGCCGAGGGGGAGCCTGCAAAGACTCCTGACCGCCGCCGCTGCCAGAGGAGTGCCGGGTGCAAGGCGCTGCCGTGTTGGTTGTTGAGGCCCGACTGCCGGAGGGCCGAGGGGCGAGAGGACGACCGAGCGAGGGCTGAAGGGCCGAGGGGAAGAGCCGACCTGCCGTGCCGTTGTGGCGGCGCCCACCGGTGCAGCTGTCGCCCTTCGGTCGATGAGAGCAACGGACGGGAGTAAGAGACAGGGACGGGAATACGGTCGATGGGTTTATGTCTTTCTGAGTTCGTGGGCTGCTGCACTAGTTGTTCTACTGGGCTTTTGGGCTACATATTTAAAACATTCAACAAACTAACATCTGTATCATTACAAATGTATACGTTCAACAAACTAACATCTGTATCATTACAAATGTATGCGTATATTTGTGTTTGTCAAAAAAAAAAAGGGTATTTCATGGAATATATGGGCATACCCCTAGCGCCGCCCACTGTGCGGTGCAGCGACCGCTGAGTCCCAAACACAGGGCACCGGCGGCAATGGACAGCAGGTGCCGCAACGTCCGCGGAGGTAGGAGCTCATTTTTTTCTTTTCTGACGTCGACGACGACACTGCAGCTGCAGGTGCTCCGGATACTCCTATACGACGCCAACGTGTGGAGGCGCGTCGCCGTCACCTTGCCAGCGCGCGTGGCCGCGCGTGCGCCGCAGCCCGCAGCTCGCTGAGGCCGGCCGGCTTGTGGGCGTGGTGCGTGGCCGACGCAGGCACGCGACCAGCAGGCTGAGGCAAGGCTCTCTTCGGCTTACCTTATATCCGGTTTATTTGACTTCTTTTTCAACCGAAATCGTGTTTTCTCTCATAATATTTTAATCAGAACAGTGTTTTTTAACCAATTTTAGTTAAGATTCAGCGAGTCGAACGGGGGTTGCTTGTCCAAATAAACTAGACAGAGGTCGATTCAAGACCGGGCCGGTTGCTTGTCCAAATGTGAAATGTCCACCGTGCTCGATGTCATAAATGCCCAGTGGCAAATTGGCAAACCATGGAAAGAGATGTTAATGGTAGTGTATGCACAGCACGTCACGCGAGCGCGATCGGATTCGGATCCGTGTGGCCAAAAAAGAAAAAGGCAACGTTACTGCCAAAGGAATTGTGAATTGAAAAGTCTCAGTCTCCATGTTGTACGCTACGATACGTACGCCATCCATCTGGTGGATGTTTGTTCACGCGAGCGAAACAAAACTACCTCAAATCAAAAGAGTCAAAAATCAGCCGTTTTGTCCGTTTTTTCTACCAGATGCCGAACGGGCTGATGAACCGGAGTCTGAACCCTTCGTCTTCTGCTGCCCAGTTTCTCTGCATGCGGTACTGCATAGCAATTTCTTACTGATGCCTGTAAAAGAGTTAAATCGTCTACTTTGTTTTCTAGAGAAGTCAGACAGAGGGAGCATATGTGATGTATATATCAGAAATTCAATTTTAAGTACTCCCTCTATACTAAAAAATAAAGTCGTTTTGAACAGCGACACGGTCTCTAAAGTATTACTTTGACTCCTTGTTTTTATAAAAAATATTAATAAAAAAGTGATATATGTATATTTTTATGAAAGTATTTTTCAAGATAAATCTATTTATATGGCTTTTATATTTCGAAACTCAACAACTTAAAAGTTATTCATGATCTATATTCTCAACGTTTGACCTAAGCCTTATTCAAAACGACTTTATTTTTTAATACGAAGGGAGTATTTAGATTTGGATACAGCATAGAAGTTAAATGTCTTCGTAGGTAGATCATCCAAGTATGATTTTGACACTTCCGGAATAAACGGATGAGAGATATCCGTCGTCATTTTATCCCTACACATTTGCTCTTTTCTTCCTTACCAATAATACACACACGCACGTCCTACTCATGTTTGATTTTTCTCCTCCACATTGCAATCGGAGTTGTGGCCAAGGATTTCTTTTCTCTTATCTATAAAAAGATCTCCGATGAGATTTGAGTTGTGCTTAGAGAGTTAGTTCACGTTATGTATCCTCTCCATTTTAAATTGCAAGTCCCGTAGTTCTTAGTATATATCTATATATACTATATATTTATATATATTGTATAAAAATTACTAAAAATATAAAATAACTTTATAATTTAAAACAGAGTAGTATGTGCAAACATGTATTATTTAATATAATTAAATTTGACATACTAGCTAATGCAACATTAGGTTTGTATGACCACTGTATAAGCCTGCATATGAGACTATACAGGTGATCAAATATGAGCAAACTGCATCGTACAAGCCTAGATACAGGCCAGAACAGACAATCGTTATTTGGTCCGTCTAGTTTTATGTTTATAAAAGTTAAAAAAAATAGTTTTATGTTTATAATTGCTTTCCCCTGTAAGTGGTTGTACTAAACCTAGAGCTACAGAGTGAAGTATGGGTATATAAGCTCGACTTGGGTACCGTTTACTTCCCTTTCAAAATGTTAAATTTTTCAAGATTCTCCAAATCATCGAAGCCTTTTGCATGCGTCGTAGGCATTAAATATAAATAAAAAATAAAACTAATTACACAGTTTAGACGAAATTCACAAGGCGAATCTTTTAAGCCTAATTAGATTATGATTGGACACTAATAGCTAAATAACAACGAAAATACTACCGTGTCGTTTTGCCAAAAATTTCGACATCTAAACATACCCTTCCTTTAAAGATAATACTTTTATATATATATATATATATATATATATATATATATATATATATATATATATATATATATATATATAGAGAGAGAGAGAGAGAGAGAGAGAGAGAGAGAGAGAGAGAGAGAGAGAGAGAGAGAGAGAGCGCGCGCGCGCGCTTGCGCTTTACGGAGGTAACGAACCAGACACGAATCGTCAGAACCTAAATAGTAACATTTTATAAGTTTATAACAGAATATAAGGGTGTGTGGAGACCACCATGTATCGTTGTTGGGAGAGGAGAGGCGGGACAAAGCGGAGGCACCTCCAAGGCTCCAAGGCACCACCACTCCACGCACGCCAACGCCACTCTCTCGGGCGCAACAGAACAAATCGACCGAGCAAGAGACAATGGCCCGCACGGCGGCGCCGGCCGCGGGCTACGGGGCGGACGGAGTGTACCGCTCCCCGCGCCCGGCCGTGCGCATCGAGTCCGACCCGGGCCTCTCCCTCAACGACCTCCTCTTCCGCCGCGCCGACGCGTGCCCCTCCGCTCTCGCGCTGGTCGACTCCGCCACCGGCCAATCCTTCACCTTCGCCGCTTTTCGCTCCGCCGTCCTCACCACGGCCGTCGCGCTCTCCTCGCGCGCGGGCGTCCGACGCGGCGACGTCATCCTCTTCTTCGCCCCACAACTGCTTCCTCTACCCCGTCTGCTTCTTCGCCGTCACCGCCCTCGGCGCCGTCGCTACCACGGCCAACCCCCTCTATACCCCCAGGGAGGTCGCCAAGCAGGTCACCGACTCGCGCGCCAAGCTCGCAATCACAGTCTCCGAACTCCTTCCCAAAATCGTGGAGCTCGGCCTCCCCACCATCCTGCTCGACGTCGACGGCGGCGCGGCCAGTGCCACCACCTCCAAGCCTCGGGGCGCCAGCGTCACGCTCTACTCAGACCTCATTTCTGGGGCGCGGGAGACGGAGTACCGCCGCCCGCCGACGAAGCAGAGAGATACGGCCGCGCTGCTATACTCGTCCGGCACGACGGGGGCGAGCAAGGGCGTAATCCTGACGCACCGCAACTTCATCTCGGCGGCGGCCATGATTACAGCGGACCAGGACGCGCTCGGAGAGGGGCCCAACGTCTACCTCTGCTTCCTGCCCATGTTCCACATCTTCGGCTTGTCCGTCATCACGTTCGCGCAGATGCAGCGTGGCAACTCCGTCGTCGTGATGTCGCGGTTTGACATGGACTCTGTCATGGCCGCCGTGCAGCGGCACCGTGTCACTCACCTCTTCTGCGTGCCGCCGGTCATGATAGCGCTCGCCAAGCTCGGGAGTGTCGGGAAATACGACCTCAGCTCGCTCAGGTTCATCGGCTCTGGCGCGGCGCCGCTTGGCAAGGACGTGATGGAGGGCGTGGCCAAGAACTTTCCAGAAGCCGTGATTGCCCAGGTAATTGACCATTCACGATTTTGCAGCTCTTCAATGTGATTATGGTATGCTGATTAATTTTAGTACTTGTTTCGGGTCTTTCTGGGATTGAATGGACCAAATTTTTTCATCCTTTTCCATCAGTGTCTTTGAGGAGGCTAACCTCGATTCTGTTGTCCTTATCTATAATTGTTGGATTAGACGACAAAATTCGAATACTTTTTGATACTGCTCCACCAAGGACATAATCAGATCGTATCGTGGATTATTTACTGCTGGCTGGTTTGGTGCGAGGGAAAAACACTGTTCCCGGCTGGAAATTTACTATCGTTTACGAGCAAGCGAACAAGCTGAAGTGATGATGGAAATACCAAATGAGCGGCTATAGACTTGATTTTGCTTTTTGGAACAGAGAAACTGAGAAAGTATCTCTCCCTCTTTCGTTCTTTTTTTTTTAACTATATAGGAAAGTGAACTTTTAATGCTGTATACTTGGACATTCACTCGGCATATAACTTAAAGTAAGGCACAAGATGGGCAGTTCTGGTTATACCCACTAACTATGTGCTGCTCCAAACTATGTGCTGCTCCAAACTTAGTTAGTGGTTATACCCACTAACTATGTGCTGCTCCAAACTGTGTGCATCCTTTTCTTAGTTTTAGGCCATTGGTTGTCATATTCCCATACTATGTGCTGCTCCAAACTGCAAAATTATGGAGCACGATATTGATATTCCTAATTCAACTGCATGTTGTGTTGCTTAGCATGTGACTAGATCTGTTAATGTGATGTGGTCTGTCTTTATTTGTTTTATCCTACATGTCATTTTGAGATATTAAATAGGGTGATTTACTTATTTGCCACTGGTGGTTTTGTTTGGCAAATATGCAATTGTTTCTATTATATATGAGATGCTGCTGATCAAATGTCGACGTGTGATCCACATGATAATAACAAAGTAGCATCAAGGAACTGAATAACGTGTCCACCTGTAAACATAAGATGCCTGGTCTGCAGGCATGGGTGGTTTTCTTTTTAGGGAAATGCAGCAGAGGAAACCCCTGCTGTGTGTTGTGGTAAACAAATTGTAAATAAATGGGTGTTTATCTTGAAATCACAACTAACCTTTGACAGCTGAGTTCATTCCATAACATGGCTGCAGTATTCATACACCTGAGGAGCTAAGTGACCACCATAGTAGTAAATAGCTTAATGAGGTTCATCTCCTTATGGGAATATCCATCATTGTGGATTTGTGGATGCATCCCGTTTCTCTTCAGATTAGACATGTACTCACTATGCTGCTGAATCTGTTCAAAACGTGCACTCTTTTTGGCATTCCATTCACTCCCGAGTCATGACAGCTGTAAACTGAGCATATTTTCCATGCCTAAGGGCCTGTTTGGATCTACTGAGGAATATAACAATCCAAGTAGTAGGTTTGGAGGATGTAATGGATTATTGAAATCTGGGTGGTTCGGTAGTTGTTTGTCCACAGTAGAATGAGGGGTATTTGCATCTCATTGTCTTTTTAGCTGATTCTTGTAATCCATAGTAGATCCAAACACACCCTTTGTTTCATGGAATATGGTGCTCCTCTTGCAGGGTTACGGAATGACTGAAACTTGTGGGATCATATCTTTAGAGTACGCAGAAAAAGGACAAGTTCGTGAATTTGGGTCAACTGGAGCACTTGTCTCAGGAGTTGAAGCAAAAATTGTTGATGTAGAAACATTGAAATGTCTGCCACCAAATCAACTAGGAGAAATTTGTGTTCGAGGACTGAACATAATGCAAGGTAAAAGTTTAAACTTTGTCTGTTTTGTGTTTTTATTCTTTCTCCCTGTGTTCGTCAACTATTAAACATTACCAATCTTGGTCCACAAATATTATAATTAGACTCTAGCGATTTGTTGGTAATGTTTTTAGTTTGCAATTAGCTGTTTACAATGTACGATTTAGGAGTAGTATTAAGCAGCAACTGTTTTCCATTAAAAAACTCCCAATGTTTCAGATAATCTGTCTAGAAAGCTCCTTGTCAACGGGCTGTTTATCAACATTTTTATTTTCCCACAATAGCTCCCAAAATTTTCCATTGTGTTCTGTCCTAGAGAGATATTGTGGCCAAAACATTTCGCTACTCATTGGAGTATATTATTTTTAGGGTATTTCAACAATGTGCAAGCTACTGAATTTACAATCAAGCAAGGGTGGTTGCATACTGGTGATATTGGATACTTCGATGAAGGAGGTCAGCTTTTTGTAGTTGATAGACTTAAAGAATTGATTAAGTACAAAGGTTTTCAGGTAAAGATTCTCATTTTTTCACAAACAAATGTTTAGTTTCTGCAAACTTTTACTTATAATCACGTGGGGGTGAAAATTAGTAATTTGAACAGCGCTTACCGAAAGAAGATTTTGTCCAGCCTCATTTGGGTCCTTTCTGCAGCTAATGTTTGCAGTTCTACTAAGCATTTGCATTCATACAAATTATTATTCAGTACATTGATTAGTTTTCATCTAGAACACTTCATACAGTTAAATTTTTTAAATCATTTTGTCAGATATAACTAGAAACTACAGTGTCTTGTGAATATCTATTTGGAAGCATGGGAGTTTTCCTAATGGCCTCAATCAGTGTATTCTTTCTCTACTATTCAATCTAACTATTATAAAATGGATCAGCCTTATTCACATATGTTATTTTCTCTTTTCAATCTTATATCATGTATTTTCCTTTAGTGGAATCTCATATTTTTCTTCTGGCAGATTGCACCCGCTGAGCTTGAAGGGCTACTTCTGTCTCATCCAGAAATTCTGGATGCTGTTGTTATCCCGTAAGTTTAGCCACCTAATCATTGGGGTTGATAGCTACTTTTGTGCGTGCGTTTTCGAAATCTTTTTTTTTCTGTATCTTATGGGAAGATATACTTGCTCCCAAGGTTCCCCGATGCTGAAGCTGGGGAAGTTCCTATTGCCTACGTCATAAGGTCCCCTGTGAGTTCTTTGACTGAAGTTGATGTCCAGAAATTTATTGAAAAGCAGGTGAGCCTGTGTAGGAACCTTGGCTTAATTGTTTCTGTCGGCAAGTCTAACTCTCATAGTACCTGTCACTCTAGTATGGAACGTTCGTAATTCCTGAGTAAATTAACATTGCTCGGTATTTTTCATCAACTGATACAACCGTGTTAATACATTACCGATTTTGTTCATGAACTCCCTTATAGGTTGCATACTACAAAAAATTGAGGAGGGTTACCTTTGTGGACAGCGTACCAAAATCTGCTTCAGGAAAGATTTTGAGAAGAGAACTCATTGCTAAAGTCAGATCGTCCAAGCTATAGCAAATCAGCTTCTGTTTCATAAGACTGCTTGCCTCCTATCTAGTCCCTCCATTTCAAATTGTAAGTTATTCTGGCTTCTTAGGTACATGGTTTTTTTGTATGCATCTAGATACACTATGTCTAAATACATAGTAAAACGAAGTATCTAGAGAAGCTAGAACGACTTACAATTTAAAAAGGAGGGAGTACTAGATTTGAAATTTGTCGATTGAGCGTAAAGGTTTACATGTTACTGAGAGGAGCATATCAAGCAAAACATTCAGTTTGACACATCAGACATTGCGCGTGTATATCATCATATATGTGAGATATATATGCTCCAGTTGGCCTCAATCCCAGTAGCCATACATGGCGGTGTTGTGTGACTTGTATCAAATATTGGGCCTGATTTACATACACTAATTGAAAACAGTATAAATATGTAAGATGACTCTGCTGCGTGTACATCTTACATCTATATAAGTCGACGTTCTTGGTCCATACAGACACAGTTGTATCAAGAAATATTGCGTGGTAGTTTGTGTAGCCACCAGCGCACTATCTGTGGGACTGGCTGACTGTTAGCCATGAGCGTACTATATGTGGCTGTTAGCCAGTCACCTATCATTCCATCCCATCCTCACTTCTCTATAAATGTTTGTTTGTTCTGGACTTCTATTTCATTCCAAAAGGTCCAAAGACCTGTTTTATCTAGCTTGTTGTTTTATTTTGTTATGTTTTGCTTTTCATTTTGCATTGTATAGGTAGAACAAGATTTGGCCCAGTTGAGTGAGAAAAACTTGGCCTAAGGGCCTTTCTCTCTCTCTTTTTTATATGTTGTATTTTGATTACTCAATTAGGCATATTTTTTTACATATATATAGATGCATAGTTTTTACTATACACCTAGATATACGCTATGTACCTAAAAAAACCATAACGACATATAATTTAGAACGGAGGCAAAATTTTCGTACACCAAACACAAGCTCATGAGGCAAAACTAAGCACATAGTTTACTAGGAGACACCAACCTATGGTTAGCGGGAAGATCTCTATGTATGTGTTTTGGTTTGGGGAATCACCTTATTTTTTCATGAGGGCAAAACTAAGCACATAGTTTATTCGGAGACACCAACCTATGGTTAGCGGGAAGATCTCTATGTGTGTGTTTTGGTTTGGGGAATCACCCCAGTTTTTTATGTGGTGGTGCATCATGAGTTCATTCTATAATTTTTTTAAAATCAACATATTATTCCTCATGCATATACTAATTATTAGCTTGTGAGAAATGAGGTGGTGATGGATCAATTCGTTTCATTCTACAAACCAAACAAAAAAGGTGAGTAGTGAGGAAAAAAAATGGATCTACTCATTTTTTTCCAAACCAACCACACCCTGTAATAATCGTCGCTTCCAACATCCAGCTATGCCTACTTCTTGGCTGAGCATCTCCTTTTGTAACTAGTAGGATCAAAAAGAAAATCCACTTTGGAGCTCTGAAGATCATCTGCATGTACAAATAAATTAATTTTTCTATATACAATAATACAATATCAATTTCTACTTAGCCAAATAAGCCAACATATCTTTCTATATACAATTCTACCTAGCCAAATAAACCAACATACTGCATTTGTCCCCGCTCAAAATTAAATATGCGATTTGGACCTATTCCCTTTAGTATTAGGTAACCAACATACACTATATTTTGGCCTTTCTAAATTACGAGAACTTTGGCATTTCTAGACATATACTGTAGTAAATAAATTACAGTACTAATGGTTTTCGAAGTCTGCATATTTGTCACGCGCCCATGGCGCGTTTGGAACTTTGGATAGCGGCCGTTGTTGGCCTTACCAAAAGTTAGCCGTTGACCCAGCGCAGCATGCTGTGATTGGATGAAGGCCATAATTTAGCTGCCCTCAGCTTTTCTACTCACGGCGTAGTTGATTTCAGCTCCCAAATTTGGCTGAACCATGAGCCACTGATTTTGCCGCCTGGATCTAAACAGGGCCAACTTTGGCTGAGTGGGTGCTTTGGCTTATGGCTTGGCAGCTGACAGCTGAGGGCACACATCCAAACACGTCCATCAGCAGTTGAGGGCATGATTTCGCGCCAAAAACACAAGGTGCATGATACATTGCAACATGGATAACGTACATCGCGGGGGGTTTTCCAGCAACTTGTTCTATGAAGAAAAACTTGCTGTATATCTCTCTGCGCTCAGCAGGAAATTGGTACATTACAATTTTACTTAATGGCACCCTAAGCTGCCAAAACACAACATACAACTTTGCCTCGATCGAGAGCATGCATAAGAGTATCTGGAGTCGTCGAATCGGAAGAAAGAAAAGAAAAAAAATGATCTGGGGGATTTTGATGCATGGTCGCTGTTAAAAACTCGACACGACAATTGCGTAATTAGACCTAGCGTACTCAGCTGCGGGCCTGCGGTACGTTGCTCGTCCCTTCTAGCACAAACGAAAGAGAGTGGGAAACAACAACAGAAAAATCTGGGTGAGAAGATGACGGGAGCGCGGCGCGTGTTGGATATATTATGGGCTTAGCCCGTATAATATTTAATAAATTAAATAAAACTCTATGGTACGTAACATTAAACGGTGTATGGTTTAATACAGTACGAAATTTGACTGAACGTTTAGTCAGTTTATATGGTTGAAAATTATCCATCTTAATTGAGAAGTTGAGAAAATGACAAAGCAGTGCCACACGCGCGCGAGCGCCGCCGCCGGGCCGTGGGCGCGGGCCGAGGCCGAGGACGTGGCGAGGCGGGCGGGTGGGCGGCGAGCGAGCAGGCGGACGTGGCCAGGTTTTGCCACTTAATCCACATAATCACGGGAGTTTCTCTCCTTTATGGTGGAGGCGAACTGATTGCGCCAGTTACCGTCTCTTCCGCTTTCCGTCTCCTTCCGAGAGAGACCACATCTCAGCAGCCATTTGGCTTCCTCGTCCCGTAACCCTACGTGCACGGAGAACCGGGAGAGCAGATGCCTCCGGAACCCTCGTCCGCCTGCGAACCTTGCACGGGGTGTGCGGCGATTAGGTTTTTGGGGAGCGATTCTATGACTGCTCGTTCGACATCTTCTTCCTCGCGGAACCCGTCTTCTTCCTGGTGATCGCTAAGCGGAACTCGCCTTCTTCTGTGATCGCTCATGAACCCATCTTCTTCTGATAATCCGTTCGGTGGGGGCTGACTGCGAACACCGTCCTGCATCGACTGTGGTCCACGACTTCGAGCAACGCACTATGTCGACTAGTGCGAATGGAGCCTCCGATGCCCTCGGCATGGGACCCTCCGCTGGGTACAATCTTATATCTGTGATTACCGCACTTTGCGTTCTTACTGTATCTATCAGTATGTTATGTCTGCATGCTATAGCGTTTGTTAGAGATATACACATGCACATATATGTCGTCACGAACCTGCTGATGTTATATTTCTGGATTAAATTAACCATAAAAATGCATAATTATCTCGGGGCTATTGCGTTCTTGCCCCTATTTTGAACCCCAATTGTGATTTTACCCATATTTTCTTTCACTTTGTGTTTTTACCCCTGTTTTTCCAAAACGAAGGTTCAGTTTACCCCTACTCCGTGAACAGCAGGTAATTGTATTAAAAAAGTTGAAAGATGACAAGTTTGTCCTTCCGAATATGTCCCTACTTTTTTGACAACTTTGTGATTGTACCCCTGTTTGATTACGTGTATATTTAAGCAGCATTTCGATAGATTTGAACAGAAATTTGCCAACAAAAATTTGACAGAAAATTGCTAACAAAATTTGGCACAAATTTATCAAAATTTTGACAACATCATGACACAAAAGCAAATAGGTAGTGATTGGCCTCATGCCCTCATCTTTACTTTAACTCATTACTTCTTGCCCGCCACACGAAAGCAATATTGGATTGCAATCAAATCAATGTTAACGGTGAGCTTTCTAATCGAAGCAAATCCATCAGGCATTAGCTGCACGCAACATCTATCTATGGGCAGCCATGCTATCTCAACCATTTTGGATCAGTAGACCAAATCCCATCGGATGAAAAATTTTATACCTAGGCAACACCAAATCATAGCTCTGGACCTGTCAGTCTCCGGCTCCATTGCCTGGCCGCACACGCCCACTCGCCGCACACCGCCCGACGGGTCCGCTGTTGGCCTTCCGCCGCCGCCGCACCCAGCCATCCGCTAGAGTTGAGAGAGGCGGGTCTTCGGCTCCATGGTCGGCTGCTTTCACGAGACGCGCGCTCGCGACGCCGGCCAAGCCACGCGCGCCCGCACCAAGCAGAGCCGCGTGCCTGGTTGCGTGCCCACGTCAGGCTAAGCCACGCGCGCCCGCGCCGCTTCCTCCGCCTGGTCGCATGCGCCCGCTCGCCGCGCCCGCCCGACGGCCCGACGCTGCCCTTCCGCCGCCACCGCCACCGCCACCGCACCCAGCCGCCAACTGCCTGCTAGCGTTGAGAGGGACGACCCTGAGTGAGACGACCGAGAGATAAGGGGTAAGTTTGTCTTTTCACAGGGTTTTTGTTAATTTTTAATTGCTTTGATCCGGATGTAGATAACTCAGTTAAGAATTAGGGTAAATGGAGCCTTCATTTTGAAAAAGTAGGGGTAAAAACACAAAGTGAAAGAAAGTGGGGGTAAAATCACAATTGGGGTTTGAAATAGGGGCAAAAACGTAATAATCCCAATTATCTAACAATCCAAAAACCTAATCTTAGGCAATTTTTTGTCAGTGGTTTTGCTGTTGTTTTGAAGCCAAATAATTTTGATGGCAAGAATTTCATGATATGGCGTACCAATATGGTATTGAGGTTGACTGCGATGAACTGCTATCACGCCGCACAGGGGAAGCCTGAACAGTTTACTCCTGAGGAGGAGCAAAAGTTCTTGGCTGCCGATAACATGTTTCGAGGCGCCGTGATTAGTGCACTCCATCCTAAGTATGAGAAAAACTACATATTTTGCATATCAGGCAAAGAGTTATGAGAT